AAAAAAAGTCGGCGATGCGCGTGTGTGCGCGCACACACAGCTACAGGGCTCAGAAGCTGAAGGTAATCGATGGGGAAACAGCAGCTCTTCCTAAGAAATCATGGTTTAAAGGCTTCAAAAATTTCTGGCAAGGTGCAGCATTTCGCAGAAAGTTTTAGCTCATCCCACCGGGCTGAGCTACAGGATGAGGATGAGGATGGGATGAGGATGCACAAGATCCAGCACCCGGTGGGATGAGGATGCAGAGAACGACCAGGGTGGGTCACAGAGGATGACAGCTGGGGTTATTACTATAATACTATTATATTATTACTGTGCCATACACTGACATTTGGTTTGGACGCTGTTTGAGGCAGAAAATGGACCAACCCGACGGCCGTGCCGGAGCCGAGCATCTCTGCAAACATGATGCCGTCTCGGCCCCGCAGCTCAGCTCGCTGCACGCCACCAGCTCGCGGTGTAAAGCGCCTTGGTTGGGTTTTAGGTAATGGCATGAATTGGAAAAGGATGAATAAGGGAAAAGTGATAGAAAAATTTAGCCTGAAAGCCGGCTTTGCTGGAAAAACAGCCGTGCTGAAGCTTGGCTGCGCGGCTCTGGGCGGGAAGGCATGGTTTCATTAGGAGAGCGGCTGCTGCGAGGGCAGCGCAAGACTTCGCTGCCGGTCCTGGGAAGCAGGAACGGCCGGCGGCTTGGCTGAGCTTTTTATTTTGCCCCTCGCTTCTGCAAATGTGAAGCCGCCCGATGCCGGGGACCGCGAGAGGGAAGCCGTGGTCTGCACAGCGCTTTCAGCTTGCTGGCTAACTTCACAGGGGTTATTGGAGAGGACGAGCACAACATTTCTGGAAGAAAAGCAAACAGTCTTCCTAGGTTATCAGGGGACACAATCATTCCAACGGAGGAGCTTTAAATGCATAAAAGACTGTTTAGGCCCAAACCACAGAGACTGACAAACCACCAGAAATATGGCACAATTGCCTTGAGAAAATAGTTCCAGGTTTTTGACGCCTTTTGCTCATATTAGTTACACGAATGGAGACTGATGCATTCATTTTTGCCACTGAATCGCAAGGCAGCGAGAAGGTAATTCAGTATAGCAAAGAGTTAGGAGAGGAGTCAGAACTGCAGTGCATGCAGGCGTGTGGTGTCCGTGTGCGTGTGCACACGTGTGTGTGCGCGCATGCATGTGCATGCTCGTGAGTGTGTGTGTGAGTGTGGCACGGTGCGGAGAGGCATTCTGGAAAAGCCTTAGGGGATGGGACCTGCTGAGCAGACCAACCCGCCGCTGCCTTGTTCCCTGGAAAGGGTTTCCCTGCAGCCAGGCCGTGGCGTGGGGTGTCCCGCTCTCCCGGCTGCCCCGGTACCACAATCCCCCGTATCCAAAGCCGTAAACGAGAGGAGTCCAAAGGCTGTGGCCGGCAGAGCCGTGCCTGCCTGGGGAGCGGCCCCATGGCGCTCAGTCGCTGAGGACGGCCCCCGGCAGCTCGTTCGTTAGTGTGTGCCAGCGCTCGATTTTCTTGTCCTTGTTTTTCAGGCAGTCGAACCAGTGCTTCAGCCGCTCGCCTTTGGCATTAATTCCTAACACGACTCCACCTTGAGAGAGAGAGACAGAGAGAGGGAGAGGTGGGGGTGTGAGCATCAGCCCTGCGAGGGATGCCGAGGGATGCCGGATGGAGCCAGGCCATGCAGCCGCTCTCACAGCATCCGATGCCACGACCTGATGTGACACACGGGGCAATCACAGCCCGGCTTCCCCGGCCCCTCACGGCTGTGGTCTGGGACCTGCCCTGGGCAGCTTTTTCTTGTGCCGAGGGCTGGATGTTCATTGCACCTGCAGCGGCTGTCAGAGATACTGGGCACTTGTCAGCAATAAATCGCAGTGACCAGTAACAAAATCATGACAAGCCTAGACATCCAACAGAGATAAATGAAACCTCCCCGTTAAACCTGTTTTTTATTCAGAAGAGAAGATCTGAAAACAGAAGGGGAGAAGGAGATGCATGGGTGCTCCCTGCGTGGGGATGTCTGAAGTGAGGAGCAGCGGGGCCAGCTCCGGGAGAGGAGGCTCAGGTGCAGGAGATGGATAAAAGCAGAACAGAAACCCAGCAAGAACGAATGTGGGGATGGAGAAGTGCAGAAGAGCAGCAGATGAAAAAAGAAGAGGCACAGAACGTGAAGATAGATAAAAAAAAAAAAGAGGCCAAGGAGACCTTCTGGAATGTCCCACTCACCTATGAAATCGTTTGATTTCCCGATATCGTAGTCCCACACCGTGACTTCCAAGGTCTTTTTCGCCAGGTCGCCATGCTTTATCTCATAGCAAAACTCCTGTTGGGGAGCGGAGACACAGTCAGGATGAACCCGTGCCGGGTTCCTGCGGGGGGCTGGGACCCCGGGAGGGGGCTGGGGCTGTCCATCCTCCTCCTCGGGCTGTTGCCCTTTGCCACCCACGGGGAACAAAACCTCCATCCCTCACCTAATGACTGAGGTTGTTTTTCTTTTTTCCTTTTAAGTCCGAGGACTGAGAAAAGCCCCTAGGCGAGAACCACCACCGGCGAAAACCCACCTCATTGAACTCGGGGTTCAGCGTCTTCTTCTTCACCGCCGTCTTATGCTTTGATTTCTTGTCCTCATCTGGTTTCAAGTAACTGCAACGAAACCAATGCAGCACGGTCACACACAGGTCCCGTACCCCCTCCCAGCGAGGAAGGCCTCCCCTGCAGCCCGGGCACGGCTAGGGGCACCTGCGGCTGGGGGAGCAGGTCCTGGGCAGAGGCAGGGTGAGATGGGTGGCTGAGCCCCCCGAACCTCCAGCTCCCTCCTCCCTTCCCCTCCCCTGCCAAAACGCTGGAGGTGGCTGGAAGGAAGCAGCATTTCCCCACGATAGCACAAGACGGAGTCGCTGGCTGCCATCAGAGAGCACGGATTATCCCATCTCCAGTCCCTAGGGGACACTGGCACCGCACACATGCTCCCAGCTCCCAAAATCAAACGCTCCCAGCCCAGAACCAGTCCAGACTTGGGACCGGTCTGCTCATCCAGAGCCTCGCCAGGAGACAGAAACCACATGCAGGTGTGGAAGAGGGAGCAGGAGCAAGTGCAGCGGCTGCAGCTTCATGCACTGCTGTTTCCTGCAGATATTTTGCAGCGCAGCAGCAGGGCCAAAAAGCGAACGAGATATTGTCATCAAGCAGAGAGGGCACCTGAAATCTGGGCCAGGCCAAAGTCATCATTTCGTGCTGGTGCTGCTCCTTTAAACATCAGTTCTGCTTCTTCGTTACACTTTCCAGATCTCGCTTGTAATTAAAAAATTAGGGCTTGTACCGAGAAGCATCACTTGTCTATCTGCTCTGATTCAAGCCCTGCAGATACAGGCTACTGCAGATAGCACAAGGGGCACCTACAAAACGACTGTGTACAACAACGGGAATTATGTTACTTCAGGGACTGAGCCTCTGATGAGCATTTAAAAAAGCAAAAGTGGATTTTTATGCAAACACCTCCAATCATAAAGAACAATTAAATAGGAAGGCGAAAGTGTGCTGCCTATAAACTCCGTTACTGGCCTCCCAGGCGCCAGGCACGGTTTATCCCAGTAACTCTGCCTTAACAAATACCATCCCTGAAAGTGCCAAAGTTTGGGTCAGCACACTGGGGACAGGGACGTGGGATGGGCGCAGGGGGGGCTGCCGGCCCTTCCTCGCCATGGCCCCCCCTGCTTTGCAGAGGGCGAGTTTGAAAAATGCCATCCACCCAAAGAACAGGAGCCACGGCGATGCAGGGCCCTGTGCCAGTGGGGCTCTGCATCAGCAAACCATCACCTTCCTCAGCATCCCTTTATAGCCCCTGGGTGACACCGACTTCCCTGAATCACTTGGGTGAGGCCGAGTCGCAGCAGCCCATTACAGTAATTTTAATGTCTCTTTTTCTTTTTAATATTGCTGGTATTTTTCAAAAGGAAGGTACTCCCAGTCATTTACATTGGAAAGTGTCAGCGGGACCTGTAAATGTGCCCTCGGCTCTGTTAATCAGGCCCTGGAGCCACCGGAGCCATGGGTTGCAATTAAAATGCTGTCTGACCTAATTACACACAGGTTGTAATTAGAGCCTTTCCAAAGCGCGGGGTGGTGGCCCCGCTGCCGGGCTGGGAGCTGGGCTGGGAGCCTCCTCTCCCGTGGGACCTGGGGAAGGGGGCGATTAATTGCCTGTCCCCTGGGGCTGGGAGGGAGGATGCCTGCACCCCAATGCCACCAGCCAGGAGCGGCAGACCTGACCCAGGACCCAGCAGCCATCCCCATCCCAGCAGGGACAGCGCGGGCTTCGAAGAATGAAAAGGATGGGGATATCACCGGGAACGAAAGCAAAGGCACCCGCAGGTGCTGAGTGAGGTCCAGCACCGTCAGGCACAGGCACCGTCCTGCTCCAGGGACACCCATCCCCGTGCCGTCGGATGAGACCCACCACCCGCCGGGCTGGGGCCGTGCCATCAGCAAAACCCAACTGTACCTGTCTGCTTTGGGCCACCAATTGCGTCCCCAGGGCCGCGTCCCTGCCGCAGACCCTCTCCCAAGCAAGGGCAGTGCCGGTGGGCAGCACCGAGCCTGGCAATGCGGCACCACGGCCACCCAGCCGCTGCTGAACTGGCAGGACGACATGCTGCCCCGGCACGGGGCAGGCAGGGCCACACGCCACCGGGCAGATCCTGCACCCACGTTACTTTGAAGCACTGTAAAATAATTGCCGGGGAATAACACACTCAGGGAGAATGCAAGCTGCTGCCGTGACACCCTCATTTACATCTCCTAATGAGATCAATTAATTTCCACTGCAGGGAGAGGCAAGAGGGGACAGCACAGCTTCACCGAGAGCTGGCAGTGGCAGCGTCTTGCCCGGCCCGGCGCAGCCGCGGAGCAGCACTTACGTTTT